GAAGGAACTGATCCGTCCACTGTCTGAATGTCAACAGTCGTATGTGGAATGAAGTGCCAGTAAAGATTTGGAATATGCCGGATATTTTGACATTTTTTTAAGGTGCCTTTCATTTTTGCACGAGAAACATTCCCAACATACTTTGATGGCAGCATTGAGCACTCATTTTTAAGACGAACTACCAACTCTGGCCAACACGCCTCAGGAGGGGTTCCATCCAACTGAAGTCGATTTTCTAGTTACAAAAGATATACAAAACAATTATCTTTGGTTGTTTATTGGTGTCCTTTTTTCTGAAAAAAAAAACGATTAAGACTCATGGTTTTTGGTTTATGGCAAACGTCACTCTGCATTTCTCACACGTTTAAGTAATTTACTCACCACTATGGTTCGATATTGGAGACTCTTAGCTAATTTTGCATCCTTTACTACTAACATTTAAAAACGGTGTAAATACCCCGACTACACTAATTCATCGAACAGTCTTCGGCCCTATTTAAGGATGGGAGGAGGGGAACACCAAAATAATAATTGAAGGAAACCACGTCGAACGATATTTCAAAGAAACTAATGTCCTTTTTCAGAGGATGTTCTCAACCACGCGGAGTCTTTATCCCTCACACTCCGGTCCGCCCTCGTCCCCGCGTTTCTTAATGCAAGATACCTACTCATCTGCCAAGTACTCCCTAGTCTCATTTCACTAGTTAGTGTTTCTTTCTTAAATTAACAGGGTGAAGTTGCACATCAATATGTAAAAGTGCTACAACAATACCAAAATGAGACCAATCTCATCAATGTTTTGTGTCATTTTGGTTGCAATCCCTCAATTTAGCATATCTAATCACCAGACTCAGGAGTGCTCAAACTGAACGATCGTATCCTCATTGGCTCTCTCAGAAAGTGACCAATCAGGGCTTTGCCCTTTCCTCCATCACCCTCTGATGCTCTATAGCGCAACGTGGTCGCATGACAAAGTGGCCCCGTCATTCCCAAGAATTATCACCAAAACCTGTACCCCCAGTACTACCTCAAACCACCCCCTACCTTCAAAATGGATAATTCAAACTCCACTTATGGTATGTCCGGTTCCATGTTTCCTGTTGCTTGAACCCCTCCATTGTTTTAATTTGCTTTTTACTGCAGGCAACTAATGTGGTTCCCACAAATTTGTGTTACTCTCGACAACATTTTGTTTTCAAAGTAAAGATTTGAAAATTATTGTGAAAGAAGTAAAGTATTCATCCTAGAGTGACAGGAATTTGCAAAAGGTCACTTCTACTATTGACGAATCATGATGTGCTTCTATAAGCTGTAATAAACATTGCCTTCAAAATTACTTCGTTTTCGGCAGAGGATGATTATTACAAAAATTGTGGTTCACGAGAGAATGGAAAACTCTCAGAGAAAGTGTATATTTCCAAACCTGGGTTGTTTATATTTTGTAAATATATACACCACTCTCCCTTGACGACGTCTTTTGCTCGTAAATTGGCGCAGTTTACGAAAGGTTACTCGACCAGGCGTAAATTTATCGTCAACGAATTTCGGTTGAAAACGTGCTGACTCTTCTGCTTTGCAACAGCGATGTATCATGTCTACCGTTGCATCTTAAGATACGTTAACTCTCTGTCTCTACTTCCGTTTGTTGACCAGTTCGCCTACCCGTAAAATCGGAGCACATTTCGTGCAAATTAATGTAAATCATCTAAACGGGGAAAACATGATACTCTAATAACGTCATCACCACAACTGCCTCTTCCTTATTTTACCTAATTCGTGAACCCAACTGGCATCCAAATTATCATCAGATCGTTATAAGGCTGGTTCAAAGGGGACAAAAATTGTTTTATTTTAATCGTAGTGCAGGCATGCTCTACCCTCATAAAAGAATTTACTGCGAGAGCTTTATCTGCCTTCCTCCCTTAACTTGTGCGGTAAAATAGGGCTCAAAGATTTACCAGATATAGGTATTGTCATTTAATCAGGAATTTTCCCACATTTTTAAATTTTTTTAACGTATGCATAAAAGAAAGTTATTGTTGAAAAGCCCCGCTTTGAAGTATTGCTTAAACTAAAAAGGTGAGACAGGCAATGCTACTGGCGTCGGCGGATTCCCTAAAACTAACCATGAGGCGGGAGTGAAAGTCATGCAACCATCTTCACTCATCAAAAGAAGACTTTCGAATGCAGGTCCCGTCAGAGACCTCAGAGGCTGATCCGCCACCAGTAGCTGCACCGCCTGGTTGACACATTCAACTGCTGCTCAAGGAAGAAGGAAATATAAACGTAATTTGGTCTTACTGTTTTCGAATAAATAGATCTCTTTGCGCCACACGACTGGGTGCAACCAGGCACCATAAACTGGTAAAGAATGTATGTCATATATTTACTTCCGGATTCGATAATTCATCTAGTAGGAAACGTATTAAGGGCTTTTTTTCCGAGGTGTAAACGAATCATCCCATGTCTTTGGAAGCATATGATTACGTCGTTTGGAGTAGGACAGTTTGTGATGGACAGATATCGTGAAGACGGCACTAATGCAGCGCACGATTTGTCTCTCAAGAGGTGGTGAAAAATAAACATAAGGGTAACTTACACAAAGGCTACCTGGCTCGCGTTTTAGGCAAGGGACGAAGTATTTACTACTTACTTGCTATCGGCATCGGAGTTGGGGAAAAAGTAGGTTTGCTGACAAGTGGTGAACGCTGTCAACTTAGACGAGTTAATCCCGCGATCATTCCCAATCAACACTTTTACCTGGGCTTTCGATGGTCAGGTATCGCTCCCCTTACTTGATTTAATTTAATTCGACCTGATCTTATCTAATCTGGCCTTGACTGAATGGTTGGGACATCTCTTGTCAGAGTGAGCAATTTACCACCCAACTAATTGATGCAAATCGACTGAATAACAAGGCTTAATGAATCCGCTATCGTGAAGCAGCTTACCTGCTATCTTTTTTAAGCATTCCTCCTTCTTTTCAACCTCATCCAGCCCATCATCAGTGCCACTAGAACCGCTTTTGGATCAGATAATTCAAGACCTTCTCCTCCACTTGCCTGCCTTTCCCTCTGTCTGCATTGCCACATTGTGAATTCATACCAAAGTACAGGATGAAGTGATACATTAGAAATTCTTTCATGCTGGCACAGAAGTCACTTAAGCGATCAAGTAAACACCGACGACGCGAATCCGAAGTTGACACATTTATTTGTCCCATGGGTTATGCCTTATCTAACATATCTCCTAAGTTGAGAGGGCTAGTCAGATGTCGTATTCCTGAATAAATTTTGCGTGGTTTCTCCTTTGTAATCCTGGCCTCGCAGGCTTTTACTTGGGAAATGGGCACCTCGAAAGATGATGCTAAATGATATACATAGTTCTTCTTGATTAAATTTTTTTCGATATTCAATTCTTCTTTAGTTTACCTTTAGGCCTATTCTCCAGCCGCCTATAAACAGCAAAGTACGTGCATGGACACGAATTCTGTTGAGTTTTTTAAAGACTTCAGACCCATATTACCGACCCAAACGAATAAACCTGAAATGTGATGTGTACATGCGCATACCTTCCGACGTTTTTACGGCGCTGTGATTAGCCCTGCCCTGTACCAGGACGCTAGCGCTAGCTCCAAGCCGTTCCTAAACGGTCGGAAAAAAGGCAGGAAAAAGGAAAACATCCAGACAATAGAACTAGACACCTTTTTAGGGATGCAAATATCACCAAAACCGTGTTTGCATAGACTTCGTTATGCCTTGGTAACCAAATTTAGACATGGCGACCTTACTTATGGACACCTCTCGAACCAAAACAAAAGCCATTTTCTGTGACCCCGAAACTTCTCTGATCTTAAAACGAGCAAACTCGCCTCTTGTTAAAGCTTTCTTAATTTCCCAATCTGTTTAAGGTATCATTTAATTCAAGAAAGTT